AAGGTCACTGATGGATCTGGAAAATATTCAAGGTCCTTTCCCTGTTACCAGGAGCTCTGGTTTTGCCTCCTTCCTGATTCCATGGAGATGAAAAAAGATGGATGGTCTTATAATATAAATAGTATCTAAGTTTTGGCCAAAGTCTTCATTAAAGAAGGAGGTGCTGCAGCATGACCCAAAGGTGGTCATTCCCTAGGGATTATCTCATAAGAGAGGCAGTGGGACCTCCTCTGATGGAAATCTCTGGTTTTCTGGAGTGCCTGTGATAAACTATGGATTCAAGTTACTGTAGAGTGGTGCCAGCAAAGCTCTGGTCTCAGTCACAGTTCTGGTACCTTTAGGAGCTCACTCCTCAGTACAGTTAGTCCTAAAACAATGATACTGGCATTTTAAATAATTCTACTGCCCTTGTGTGATCAGCTCACATTGGTTTAAGTCCTGCTGCAATGCTCTTAGGTTTTCTGCCTCCCCAAGCTCAAAAAGCATACCCTGGTCTTACTAAAGATTGGCATATCACCCTGCATTGTTATCTCCTTCATTTTGCCCTGTGCACCACCTTCACATGAATATTTCAAACAAGTTTCAAGTAATTTAGTTTACATGCCATTCCACATACCTTCATAAAATAATCTTCCTTCTGACTGCATCCATTTCATGGGCATGAAACTGAATTCCTTTGAATTCCTGACATGTGATACTAGTGGATTCCTAAACCAAGGATAATAGGTTCCAGTACTGATTACACATTCTTTTAGCCAATCAGATATTCAAGGACAGTGAAAACTATACAAATCAAATCTTACACAAGAAATTATTTACATTTCAGATCATTTAAGAAGCATTTAATGACCTGTACGAAGTGAATGATTGATTGGTTCTATGCCTTGGTGACAATGCAGCTGTAAAAGCAGCCTGTACTGTATGGCAGAAGGCTGAATCTGCACCTGCAGCATGCACAGACATCCCTGTGAGTCCATTTTATGGAGTATCTCAGAGCACCAGAGCCCAGATCTAAGCAACTGCTAATTGGCACTGTTTGGCAGGCTCACCAGAGTGGCCAAAGTGGGAAAAACAACAACAAGAAAAAGAAAGGTATGAGGACCAATCTGTCATTGTTAGTGAAAATGGCATTGATTTCCTGAAGGGGAAAAGAAGGGAAGAGCACTGAGAGATGTCTCTATGGGAACTGTGCTGGGTCTGGTTTGGAAATAAACAAGTGGCTGTTACATTGCCAAAGCTTTATCTTTCTCCAGCACTGAATATAAACACCACCTTTGTAATGAATGGTCAGCTAGAGATAAAAGGGAGACACTGGGAAGAAAATGAAATTTAAAAAGATATTATGAGATCCTAGTCCAATAGAAATGGTAATAGGTTTTAAGAAAATTTGTTTATGGAGAATGTTAAGAGAAACTGAACACAGGAGCTAATAAACAATAATACATATAATAAAAAGTAATGATGTTTCTCTGATTAATGAGTGTCAGCATTCAGAAGAGAGTCTTTCAAACATCTGTGTCCTTATGTGAGTCCTCTGTGAACTGTCTTTAAAGGATCTGAAAATGTACATAATTTTATTTTTTTAAGCCTGTTATCAGGTGGACTTAAATGTGATAAACAGGAGACTGTAATTTCACCAGAATAATTTTGGGCTCCAAAAAGCTGGAGGTTGAAAACCACTTGTGTAGAACATATGGAACCTGAAACGAAAATGGACTAAAACAGAACACTCCAACAAGGAAATCAGGGAAAAGGATTTCATAAAAATAGTTGGCAGGATGTCTTCTGTGTAGTGAGCAGGGGTTAGAGAATCAAAAATGAGTTTTACAAGAAAACTACAAAAAATTAAGTGTAAAGACATTAGAAAATACAGTCAGCAATAACTAAACAGCCGACTGACACTTGCATATAGAAAACCTACAGACTGCAGCAAAGAATGTGAATTATAACTGTTATACTGAATAAAGCATTTCAGCCTGAAATGGTGTTGTTTCAGCAAGTGCTGCACATGGGTCTTGGTTCAGCTCCACAAATGTAAGCTGAGTCTTTTAATAGGCAGCATTGCCCCCAGGCTCAAGGTCCAGGACACTGCTCTTCCACTCTATGCAGAGACTCAGAACACAAATAAAAAATGGCTGAAAGGAGCACAGAAAGGTTTATTATGCCTATTTAATCTACTGTGCACTTTCCTGTGACACAAGGAAGACATGCCCACTAACAATCCTTTGTCCAAACAACTTGTCAGCAATTTATCCTAGATAAATCAGCACCTGTGGGGATGACCAAGGGTGTTTCTGTCTGGAACACCCAGTCCCTGCACATGATAGTAAAAGGTTTCTAAAATCGTGGGGAATTCGGGGAGTTGGATGGAAAGTTAGGCTTGGTAGGCCCTGGGAAAATGTTATGCCTTGTCTTTACTAGATCATGTGAAAAGGCACCTGTGCAATCGTTATATGATAAATAGTATGATTGTTAGATGTGATGATTGCTTAGTAATTAGATATAATTATTGTTTAATCATAACAAGAATCGTGAGAAAATATGTCTGGGGGTTTGAGAGGGCATCACAAAAAATCCATGCTTGGATGAGATCAATGTATACAACAGAACAATATAAGTTTAATAATTAATATGTAATTATATAACAATAAAATGTAAAACATGTTCCACTCGGAACTATGTTGGAGTCCGATTTGGGTCTGTACCCCTGATTCCCAGAGCTCTTCAAATAAAAGCACCTGCATATTATCATATTCTGAACACTAACACACAGAGCAGAGGCTTTTTGCTCCAGCAGAGATGCCCAAAGCCTCTCATGGCTGCTTACATTCCCCACCAGCTGCTGTCCTCAATGCCAAAAGGCACAGGACATGCCCTCTTTTCTTGGCAGTTCTATTCTGGCACTTTTCAAACCCTCTGGTTTGTTGTGTTTTTTCCATTCTCTCACAAATCAATTTCTCAGTCATCTTTAGTGTGTTTCTGGGAAGTGAAGTGAGGTTATACATTATTCCTCCAGTCTCCTTCTTCCTTTTATTATGTCAAGTCACTGCCAACAGCTTTGGAGTGAGTGGATGTGCAGAGCTGCTCAGTTCCTCAGCTTCCTTCGGTCACCACAGCATGGGCAAAAGCAGCTGGCAAAACCAGAATAATAGGTAGATCCCACATTTGAAATGTGATCTGACTGTAAAATAAAATACAGACTGCAGATTATGATCCCATTTTGACTAGTTTTTCTCCTCAGAGGTCATTAGTGTGGAAGAACGAATTTCTGTATAACAATGTGACTTGTCTTGATATTGACAGTCTAGAATCTGCAGTGCACCTATTAAATATAGCTTCAAAAGCCACTTATTTCAGCTAAAGCTAGCATTTGCCTTACATTCCTTATTGTGCATCAATGACTCAAAACATTTACAGACAGTGATCACTGAGAGAGAAACTGAAATTTTTATGTGGAATCTAATTGTAACACTGTGTTGATAATGTGAGGAAAAATTGATTCAGATACTATAAAAAGCATACAATTTAGTGATTTTTTTTCAAGAGCTCTAAGCTAACATTTCATCACTCAGCTTCTAAACACACATTACAATGAATGCAGAGCACACAACACAAAGAAAATTACAGTACATTTCTATTAAGTGAGTGTGGCATTTGGGAAAGATGCCAGGTTTATGACACTGTCCTATAAACTTGGATTTTGTTAGGTTTTTATCAAAATACCTAATACCGAATGGGTGGTGTGTATTCAAAGCATTAAAACAATGGATTACAAAGAAGGCATCTGGATCAAAGCTACAATTATTTTCCTCAGCTAAGAGAGGAGTCAAAGTCCAATTAGGAGATTAAGATCTTAAACTGGAGACTGACTTCCGTGGGAATTTTCCCAGTCACTTTTGGTTCATCTTGGATTAAATGATTGTTCTACCACAAAGCAGGGTACTGCAAACTTAACTACTTTAAAATCCTCTCTAGATATATAAATGCTTTTTCTTGTAATATATTATTCAACCTACAGACATTGATTGCAATAGCTGAAACCGATACTGCATAAAATTATTTATTGTGAATTCTGTATTGTGAAATCTAACCTTCTAAAAAAATTGAAACCAATAAAACTTTCTAAGGCGTGGTTTGTTTTGCTGTAATATTTTGGGCTATTTTCATTTGCCTTATGCTTTCTGAGCTAGATCAAGACTGGCTGGTATTTTGTTCTAGATTTCCTTACAATCAAGGGCTTTATTCTTACAAAACAAAACAAAACCAACAAAAACAAACAAACAAGCAAAAACACCTCCAATAGATTATTGAATTAACTTATGACTTTTGAGTTCCAGGAAAGATGGACTCTAACTAAACCTGCAAATTAGAAAAACATCATGAGCATGGAACAGTTTCCAACCCTCACCTTACAGTCTCCAAAACATTACTAAATTCCTAGAGGTGTCCTGGAGGAGAACATGGTAAGGTTTTTTTTGGGCGAAACATTTTTCTTTCAAAAGAAAGTCTCGTCAATGCAGATATGTAGGAAGCTTGTGTTGTATTTTAACAATAACTATCTGAATGTATCTAGCTGGGAAATATTAATATAGTGTAAGATGAGAGTAAACCCATCCTATCATGCCAGAGCCTTTCCTGATATGTGCTACCATTTGGGAGGGGGCTAAAGTTTCTGTGAGGTTCTCTTGCTAGGCTTTTTTTTATGCCTTCTCAATGATCAGCAGTTTCTGAAGGCACAGCAGATGGAGCTTGGCATGGAGAGAATATGAAGTGGGGATACAGCCACCTTTGGGTGCTGGGTGCTACCCTTGCTCACAAGTACAAGTACAAGCAGGGGGAAAAGGAAAGAGGGATGCTGCTATTTGCCTGCCTTTGTTTGCCCAACTGGGCAGCAGAGGATCAAGGGAGAATGGGAGAAACAGTCAAATTCTTGCCAGCAGTGCACAAAATTGAGAAGAGAAATAACAGATGGTAATTCCTTTGATAGCAAGGAACCCATCTGCTACTGCTCCCCCTTATGAGCTGCTGGAGACACTGTGTGGAAAAGCTTCAGAAACAAGCTGTGAGAGGCAAATGTGAGTGTGGGTTGCATGGGAGAAGATGGAAGAGAGAGTAGCTCTGCTTGTGGAAGGGGACATTACAAGAAGAGAGCTGTCCTTCTGCTCAGCTCTTGGTAAGTCCCAAAATAGGCTTTTGAAAAGTTGAAGCAACTCAGTTATATAGGACAGCATGCAAAGCAGCTGCTCCCTGATGTCCCACATTGAATATGCCAGTGAGAATAGCTTATGAAAACCTGGCTGCAAGGGAAGTCCACACTAAGATCATACAGTCTCTGTGGTAGAATATCACAAAAGCGACCCAACACCTGGGAAGAATGAGCTCTGAACTTCAATGATTTCAGAAGGCTAATTAATTCCTTTCTTAAACTATATTATACTACAATTATATTACACTATATTACGCTAACAAGAATTATCACTAACTAGAAAAACCTGTGACTCTCTGCTGAGAGTCCCAACAGAGCTGTTGGATCCAATTGGTCCATGAATCCAAACAACCATCACCAGAATCCAATCAAGCAATCACCTTGGGTAAACAATCTCCAAACATGTTCCACATGGGGACAAACACAGGCACAGTAAATGAGATAAAGATTGTTTTGATCCTTCTCTCTGTGCTTCTCCAGGAAAAATCCTGAGAGAGGGAATTATGTCTCTCCGTTCAGAGAATGTGAATGCCACAGTAGCAGGCTGCACAGTCCTGCAGAACAGCTCACTTCTGCTACTGACATCATCTTTGATCACCTCTCACTCTTGCCTGCTTTGATGAGCAGAGGTAATGTATCTTGATATTACATAACATTGACGCCTGACAATGTAATTTATTATTCCTTTTAAAATTAATAAGTTCGTGAATCTTTCTGCTTTTCAGGCTGTCTGAGAACACAGGCATCATCACATTTATCTATGGGATATGAATGGAACAATGTCTGCGAACATGGAGACATCAGATTCCCTGTAAGAAAGATGGTGGTCTGGAGCATTCAGTACAACCACAGAAACAGAAATGTGGGCACCTGACGGCCTTCCTGGCTCTTCCTGACTGACAGCTGCTGTGCTGTCAGCTGCAGATCACCCAAAGCTGTCACTGACAGGTAACAGAAGAAATAGGAAACACATTCCATAAGAAGACTCACCACCATGGAGAAGACAGCATGAGTGCCTGGCTAAAAGGAGAAAGTAAAATACTAACCCTCCTCTCCTCCTTACTTTTCTTTAAGAGCAATCCCTCTCCTTAATATTGTGAGAAAATGGCAGCTGCTACATTTTAAGGGATTTGACAATTTACTGATAGATGCAGAGGGGAAGCTTGATTTGCAAGCTTGTCATAGATTCTCTCTGCAAGAGAGAGAGTTATGTCAGAGTAGGAACACGTTTTGAAAGTGAATTAGCAGGATGAGGGAATTGTTTTGAATATTGGAATGGTCAGGGCAGTCAAATCTCTTGAATGACTTCTGTGGCCCTTAGCTAGCATCCTTTGACACCAATCCACAGCAAGCTGGAACAGACATGCACACACATACACTTCAGGGTTACCCAAAGAAAAGTGCGAGGAGAATATTTTTGCATTGTCTTTTACAAAAAGCAGTTGAGATGTGGTGTTAAGTAAATATAAAACAAGATTTAAACACCTGCAGACACACATTTATTTATACACTTGTTTATAAATACTGATATTACAGGAGAATCATGACTTTGCCTTGATTGAGGGCTGAGTTACTGAGCATCGTGAGCTGTGGTTGATAGGATAATACAAATATAGTGAGGTGAACCTTTAATGGGCCATGGATCAAAAAGCCACTGGAGAACAGTGTCTGAAACTGCTGGGAAGGTGGTATCATGGAGAAATTTGCTGGTGGCCTGTGTTGACATCCAGCCAGAAGTCCCTGAGTAGCACAGACTAACAGAGATTAAGGGGAGGCATTATTCTGAAAACATCCAACATCTCATGGAAGCTGATTTCTTCAGGTGGAACCATCACATGTTGGCACTGAGGTGCTGCCCATCACCCAACACAGAGACAGACTGGACAGAGAAATTTCATGTTCCTCCAGGACTGGCTGTGCCAGCTCACTGTGCATGATGAAGAGCCCAGATAATTCTCATGTGTGAGCCCTGCAGGTGCGGCTTTTTCCCCTCCATCTTGTCCCCTGCTTGGGGAACTAAGTAGGTTGAGCCTGACAGTATCACATTGGTGTTTCTCTTTCACCTGTGGTAAATGGGAACTAGAAATATAGGGGTGAAAAAAGAGAATGAGTGATGGAAGGATGTCTTTGTCAATATGACAATAAGAAAAAAACAAAATCAGAAAATGGAAGGATGTCTTTGTCGATATGACAATAAGAAAAAAACAAAATCAGAAAGTGTATGAGAAATGTGCAAGACTTCAGTGACTGGCTGAGAATTGTCAGTGGATCAGAGACAGAACCAAGGGTGAAGGGAATTGTCCTCAGAGATGGCAATCTGCCATCTCATCCTTGTCAGTAATGTCTGGGGATATGACCACAGAGTGAAAGGGGTCCTCCCTTCCTCTCCCTTCAGAAAACACAGCCAACAGTACCTTGCTGCAGCCATGCTCATGGGAAATGGATGTCAGGAAAGGACCTGCTAAGGATGACAAGCCAGCTGCCTGCTCCCCTGTGCAGCTCTCTCTTCAGTCTGGCTCTGTGTGTGCTCCAGATTCTGCTGTCTTGATAGAGGAGCTTGAATAAAAATATCAGAAAAAAACTTCCTTGGGTGACTAAGCACTAAAAAATGAAGTAAAAGACCTATTATAGCCAGCCTGATAGATGAAATGATGTTGAAAAATGAGATTATATACAGCAACGCTTTTGGCAGCCTAAGGGGAAAAGAAACCTCACTGTTAAGCAAAGTTTCTTTTCAATTATTGCTATTAATAAGCTGTGGTTGTAATGATTGGATACAATAAATGTAGGTAGAGGTTACATTAGCTGCTCTGATCCTCCTGGTTTTCCTTCTAACCAGGGATCTGCTTAAAGAGAAAAGCAAAATGTATGACAGGTGCCCAAAATTCGCTGGTGGATTACTTCCCTGACCCTGTTCAGTGCTCAGTATCGCAGCTGCCAGGCTGGCTCAGGGAGCCGGGAGGATGGGGATGCTGGGACGCTGGGATCAGGCAATGCCCGAGGCACAGCTCCCCAGACACCCTGCCACCTAAACTGACAGGCTGTCCCAATTCTGGATTAGTTTGAGCATGGCTAAACCGCTTCCTCTGACTGCAGTTAACCTCTACATGAATAAATGCTGCAATCTTTGGAGCGTGAGGTTACTGACTGTCAGTGTGAATTTTAAAAAAAGCCTTCAAAGATAAAGGTCTCTGCAGTCTTTTTTTTCATTTTCTGCACATCACACAGATCTGAGGTTTTCAGTGAATGCCTCTGAATTAATGGTGTTTATTCCTTGAGTTAGGAATAAGATCTGGAATAAATGAGTACGTCTCTAAACAATCCTTCATGCTGAATGTTGTAGATGTGCCAATACGTGTGGAAAATCACATTTTCCTGCTCTACAGACTATTTCATCATCTTAACCACTCACACAGCTTCACACTGACATTCAGGGACAGCAGAACTGTGCAGTGCCCAGGGTGTGCCCAGGGTGTTTGGTCTCTCAAATGGCCAGGGCAGGTTTCTGTGGTACATTGCAGATGTGTTCCTGCACTTCCTACTGCATCACTTGCAGACATTTCTGAACAGCAGGGAGCAGCAGACAGGGCCAGCTCATGCCTACTGCAAGAATTATTTGCCATAGGCATGGATGTTTTACATTTCTGCTCTCTGTTCTTCCTCACAGCTTTGTATGTCAGTAGTTCCCAAGAAGCTTAAATTGGTTCCCTGGGAGTCAAGAAAATATTTTTTGGTCTTTGAGTAGCTTTGTTTCTCTTAAATCCACCTTCAACACTATGTAGCACTCTGTTCTGCATATTCCTCTTCTTTTTGTGCTCTCTCCATTCCCCTTTATATTCTCTGTTTTCCTCAGGTTTCTCCTGCCACCCTTCCACTGATACTATGGAGTTGTACAACAAAGCCTACACTTCTTTACATGATTTAATTTCATATTTATACTGCATAGAAGACAAGAAGTCTGGCAAAGACATTAATAAAGTGAAAATTCACAGCATACCTATATATAAACTCTAATCTAAATAATACTGTCATTGCTGCTGGGTTCAGCTGCCATGTGCCGAGAGCACGGATAAAATACTCATGTGATGTATCTCCATCCTTAAAAACACATATAAAAGATCTATATACCAATGAGACCAATTATTGTTCACTCTGTATAATGAAATGTGCCAAAGCCAGCAAGGACTCCTTGTGAATAAATTGATCCCATGTCTCAGGCTTTTCCGGTTGCAGCATCAGAGGAGTTCTTAAACAGAGCTCCCACTCCCAGCAGTTATTCTGCCATTTCTTGCAGCTGTCTTTATAGCCTGGTCTTGAAAATTTTGCTCATGAAGACTCCACAGGGAGATCAGGGAACCTACCTGTATTCTCTGCCTTCAGTTTATAACTGAAGGAAATGGTTTGCCTGAAAATCTGGAAGGCAAAATAAGTTGGGAAAAAAAAGAATTCTTCTGTTTATTTTTCTTTCTTTCGTTCTAGGGTGCTGAACAACTGGAAGCAGAGGGGGAGCAAAACAAAAACCTTCAAAGAGATGTGGCATGTAAGCTTCTATCACCCAAACTTCTGAGTTTGGGTTTTTTTATCTGGGAGGGCCAAGGCTTCAGAGAGACAGTATTTAACTCACTAGCCAGGAGCTAGAGAAAGATCTGGCAGAACTGCCCAGCTAACAAAGCAGCAAGAGAAAAGCAGCACAGATGAATGAAGAGCAGTGCACATGGTGAAGTGACCTTAATTCCATGTTCTCAACAGCTTTTGTCATCAGGCGTTCACAGACAGAGTTTGCAAGATGAAGCTTTCTATCCCCTGCGCAGCAAAAAGACCAGGAAGGGAATATAAACTATCTTTTGGTACTCCATCAGCCTGTGGTGTACCCAGTCTTCTGAGAGGCTCTGGCCACTGCAAAAATGAGATTTTACAACTAGAAAGGATATAGATAAGGGGAGTCAGATTGTTTCCTATTTCTGACTCATCTGTGCTATAGAAGAAATCAAAAAGATTTGGTTTCCTCATCTTGAAAATAGAGATGAACTGAGGACATGATAGAGATCTAAAAAAACATAACTGATGTGGAGCAGGTAGTGAGGGAATCATTAGGCACATGTAGTGCCTAATTGTATTGCAGGACATAACATCCTGTTATTTTATAAAATCCTGGTTTGTTTGGATGCCCAAAGTATAAATAAATTCTGAAAGCTACTAGATGGCTTCCTAGAAGGAAAGGTCTGTTAGAGAGAGTTAGACAACATTACGTAGATACAATTTCTAGATGAGAAAGTTTCTAAACTAAAATTTGCTGGAAATTGGAGAAGTATCTTGGAAAAAATATGAATCCAAGATTGGTTTTATGACTTTTTCTTTACTATCAGTGCTGTAGTAGAAAGACAACACATCAGATAGGGTATATGTATATAGTACAGCTGTTTGTCTTCTGTTTCATCAGAATGGCTATTTACAAAAGTTACATATGGTCAGAAATTATATCAAACACACAAAAACTACACTACTTCTCCCTTAAAGAAAATCTATGTATCTTGAATCGTAAAGTACAAACTTTTAAAGTTGGAGGAGTGGAGACATGAGAACAATAGAAATTTATACAAGTGAGGGAAAAAATGGAGAACACAATGAAGTAGACTTCCTGTGAGGTTGATATCTGCTCTCCAGTGAAATTGTGAAATTGTTTGCAGCACTGTTTTCATGTGCAGAATTAGATTTTGCAAGGAGCCCATAGGGCAAAATGATGACATTTGCATATCTGTTATTTTTCTCCCTCATCAGGGGTAGAAGGAAAAATTAGACTTTTTTTTCAAAAGCTGACTGAACTCAGAATTTGGTAGTCAAATCATATAGACTCAGGAAATGCAGAGAAAGAGGAAGAATAAAGAATGGAGCACTCATGTACAATCAGTCATTTTTCTTCACATTGTTTCTAAAGGTGATGCCAAGGAATTTAAGACAGGCTTAAATCAAAGTATTGCCTTAAGCATCAGCATTTAATTTCCTTCCAGCTCACATCCCAGCCAGTGCCAAAGATAGATTAGGAATTTGATCAACAACAGACCTGGTTTCCATTTTGATAAAGAACTATAATTACTAGAACCATCTTGGCAGATGGGTACTGTAAGAGATTAGTATTGCTGGAAGAGAAATTTGTTTCTTCAGCTGCAATAATGAACTGGTTTTACTGGTTTTACTCTTTAACAGATTTTGAGAAAGACTCTTCAAATTATACATGCCCAGGAAAGATGATAATGTCCATCTCCAATTACAGGACAGCTAGATTAATTATTTCAACATAAAAATTATTGCAGATTATTCAGGTACATTTAGAGATTCTTTATATCCCCACTGAGTTTTGCAACTTTAGAATGTTGTTGTTCAAAGGTGGTAATTATTTGTAATTTTTGGTATTACACACCTTACTGAAAATTAAATCACATTACCAGATATGAAGATCTAAGTAGTATCTCAATACAAGACAACATCAAGTTAATTGGTTAGAGATATAAAGGACAGTTTTGCTTCCATTTAATGTCTGTGTATCTTTAAGTTGTTTCAGTGTCTAAAACTTAGACATAGGGGTAAATATTTTATTTGAGTTTCTTTCAGCATATTTCAACTGAAATGTTTCAGATTTTTTTTCTTGGGGAGATGGGTCATGTATACCTTTATTTTTTTAAGTGAGAATAGTCTTAAAAATTAATAAATTCCATCAGCTTTTTTCATGGGATTTTTTTGCTCTTAAAGACCTGTATCTTGGTGTCTGTGCTCAGACAGAAGGGTGTATGTATATACGCATTGGAAAAGGAAGAAGTTCTTCTAAAATTATTTTTTTCAGCTGCATTTCTCCATACTCCTGTGATTTGCATTGTTTTCCTCACTCGTGTCAGAAAAGCAGCAGGAATAGCTTTTATTTTCCAGCAGAAATTTTCATATGGGTCAGCCTTTTTGATCTTGTAATATTCTGCAGCACTGGAGAACAAACTCAGACAAATTATCATCAACAAATGGAAGCTGGAGATAGATGACTGGAAGTTTTTTGGCCCCATTTCTTCTCTTATTCAGCCCAAACTACATTATTTTTAGATTATGCTACTTCATACCCCTTCCATAAATAATCTACTCTTCCCTTTGATTGTAAGTTCATAATTAATTTATATTAACACATTTAAATCCAGAACAGGCACTCATATCATGATTTACAGATTTTAATAGTTCTTTGCCATCTCCTGTCTCTTCCTCCATTTATCATCTACCCCACTATTTCTTACCAGAAACTTTAATCCAATTGGTAAACCCCTGGATAATCTTCACACGCAAAACTTACAGCGCTGAGCCCAAAATTCCTTTTTCTTGTATCTTGTGCTAACAGGGGCCTGTTCATGAGTCCTGTGTCCTTCAGATCCAGTGCTCTCAGTTCCTAAGCCAAATAAATGCTCTGTAGCCACCAATTTGATGTATTTCATGTGCCTGACCTAGAAAGCAACTCCTGGCTCATCCACATCTTCCCTTCAGCTTCTGCACAGCCCAAGGGTGAACACAGGGCTGGGTCTGGTTTTTTTGTTCATGGGGGATGTGATAGAGCACGTTCCTCACAGAGTCTTCAGAGGAGTATCTAAACACCAGGTTTACTCTAAAAGCTGATCAGGAAATGATACAAAGCTAAGGCTTGCTAACAGCAAGGCCTGCAAGCAATTCCATTCCTCAGCATTTTTTCACATTCCACGCCTCCTGTCCTCAATTTCTGGGCAGGCAGCTTCAGCTTTGTTCTACCTAAAAACCCAGCCATCTTCTACCAGAGG